TTTTTGGTCAAGCGAATGACCAAATGAGGCCCAATTTCTGTTTTTTACGCATTAAGAACTGTAAATAATTGCAGATACTGTTTGACTAGCGAAGTAAAATGTGGTTTTGGTAATAATACTTGGAAATAATTTATGCATATAGGTCTTGATTTAGTGGAGGAGTCTCCTAAAATTCCTCACATCCAAATTAGATGTAACTGGATTCTAATTGTGAAGATCTTGTTTAGTAGCTCGTATCACTAAAGTATCATGGGTGCTACTCCCTGCATATTAATTCTCACCAGAAGTCCTTGCCTGTATTTCACAGAACACTTTCACTCTGTCTTCCAAAATTTGCCTGAGCATATGTGTGGAGGTTATATTGAAGCTGTAACATGCTGGGATGAGCACTTCTCAGTCAGTGGTTCTCTATATTTTGGTCAGTTGTGGCTTATGAGTTGGATGCCTATCTATCATGAAAAGAAGTTTCATAGGTGAGGGCTAAAAGTTACACATGTCTTGTCTGTGGATGTAGTGATATATAGTTAGAATGCACTTGAAATTATGCTGTCTTGTGAATATGGCACTATTAGTTTCTCCTCTTGGGACCATGACCTAATAAGCCCCAGGCATCTGGATAGGATTAGAATATTAGTCATAAATCCCATTTAATAAAGTGGCCTTAGTACAATCCAGTTGTGATTGGTTACTCATAAGGTAAAATATTACCATTGTGCCCTTGGAGATACCTTGTAGTATTGTTTTTGTGGTTTGTTAGCTTTACAGCTGGGTAAGATTTTTAATGGCTTTTTTCCTTGTCAGATTATAAAGTCCTTCCCCAACTACTCTAAGCCCTATGTCCAAAGTATATTATATTTTCAGCAATAAGGTATTACCTTAAAGTTCTTGTAGGTAAACGAAGGCAGCAGCAATAGGCTTTGTTGCTTTGGGATGAGAATTTGTCCTCCCATATATGAGCCTCTTGCTAGGTTATTTGGTTCCAGTGAAAATCCCCAAATGCACACACACACTCACACACAGACACACAGACACACACACACACACACACACACACACACATCTTATACATACATAACATTAAATGGACTCAGAATTGGGTATTTTATACACACACATGTGCATTTATGTATAAATAATAAAGCAAATATATAGTTTTGAAGGATTAGATTGATGAATAAGTTGGAGGGGAAAATGCAGAGTTGAAATTATATGAATACATTACTTATGTGAAATTCTAAAAAATCAAATTTTAAAATGAAAGGTGATTAATTGCAAGAGAATTTGATCTGAGGATTGATATGACCTCAGCAATGGAAGCTTGAAGCTAAGGATGGGAAAATAAATTGATTTTGCAAAGGAGTGGTAAAGCCTTAGAAAAACACCAGATTCAGTCATACATGAAGTAATGAATAATGCATTAAAGAGCAAGGCTGAGGACCCTCATTGTGAAGTGAGGATAATAGGAATGATTGTGATTGTAAATATTAAATTTGTCTGAGTATATGCATAGGTGTGCATTCAAATGTGTGTTTATATATGGGTGTTTCTGAGTGGGCACCAGTGTGTGCATGCCTCTCTCTCTCTCTCTCTCTCTGTGTGTGTGTGTGTGTGTGTGTGTGTGTGTGTACGCGCATGCGCACATATTATCTGGTAACTGAGCTGTAACAATAAAATCCAAGACAAGTGAGCTCAAGAACCAGAATTCAAGCCTACTTTCTTTCCATTGTCCTCATCTGTTTGTCTGTCCTCCATTGCGGGTGGGAGTGTGAACTTGTAAGACCACTCTGGAAGTCAGTATGGCGGTTGCTCAGAAAAATGGGAATCAATCTACCTCAAGATCCAACCAGTCCTCTCTTGGGTATATACCCAAATAGTGCATGTTCATACAACAAGGACATATGTTCAACCATGTTCATAACAGCATTGTTTGTAATAGCCAGAACCTGGAAGCAACCTAGATGCCCCTCAACTGAAGAATGTCTTTCCTAACAAAAGATGGAACAAACAGCACAGTGCAGGGAAAGAGCAGCAGATCAGATATATAGTAGGAGGCAGCCTGCCATGACTGAAGGGAACTGTATATGGGCTGCTTGTGATATGAATAGAGTCGAGAATGTAGCTGTCATTAATTGATTTTAATTGAGAATAAAACTCTTTCTGAGTTTAAGATTTTATGGTCCTAGATCCTCTACAAAATGGAGGCTCACTTGAAGGCCCTTAGTCAGTAGATAGATGGTGCTACCCAGCTGCAGCTTAGCAGATGAAATTGCTGGTATATGGTTATATATCATCTAGATAGCTCAATTATTTTCTTTTCTTTTTTTGTCTGTACTTGAATAATATTTATTTATTTATTTTTTATTAGTTCAAATTAGGAACAAGCTTGTTTCACATGTCAATCCCTTCTCCCTCTCTCTCCCCTCCCCCCAACATCCCACCTGCCCCTATTCATCCCCCCTCCACTCCCCAGGCAAGGTAAGGCCCTCAAAAGGGGCTCCCCAAAGTCTACCACATCATCCTGGGCCAGGCCTAGGCTCTTCCCCATGTGTCCAGGCCTAGTGAGCATCTCTTCACATAGGATGGGCTCTCAAATCCTTTTTTTATAAGATCTTATATATTAAATATAGTACATAATACCTGTACAGATGGAAAAAAATAAGTTCAACATTTCTAGACCAATATGGCTGTTAATTTTTTTACAATGCCAACTCAACATGGTAAACTGGGATACGTTTTTCCAAAGTTGACAGCACATCTAAAGTTTCCAAAAAATTCAAATTTTATATATATATATATATACATATATATATATGTATATATATATATAACAATAATGGCATTATGTTATGCATCAATAGCAGCGACAGCTTTTCCAGGTTCTGCTATTTTAAATTATCATATAATTAACATAGCTAATATTCTAATAATAATCAACTTAGAAGAATAGTAAGTACACAATTGCCAATAATAAGTTACATTATACACTCCTAAAGAGTTTACCATGAAAATCCTTGAGCCATAATATTTCAGGTTATAGCCAAAAATTAAAAAACCAAGTAAGATAATAATATAATAAAAGCATGCAAATGCATTCACAATCAAATAAAACATCAAAATTGCCACATAATTACTGGTCAATGTAAGAAATGTCATCTTTATAATTCCTTCACACTATGTCATTACTATGAAATAATGAGATGTATAGTTAAAACATCAGACAAATGCAAGAAAGAATTGTTTGTGAAATAATTAGGAAGCCTCATTTTATTTATCCTGTGTGTTATGTTGACATGCATAACATCATATTAGTCATGTAGGCACAAAACATACATCTGCTGTAAAACATGTTTAATGAAGTTTCTTAAACAGAGATTTGACACCATGTATGTATTCATATGTGTAGCAATGGCTTACTAAACACCGTACTAAGTTCAAAGCTGTGTGTAGTGAGAATGCTGCTTAACAAACTACTGCTTCCACATTCCTCCAAGAAGACAGCTGTACAACTGCATGCCTACTTTCAGGCTGTAAACAAAACCCTTTCTTCTTCTTCAGCACTCTTGGTGTTTAGAAAGTAGATGGGTATTGATAAGGAATTAGATGATGTGGTGGCCTGAGGCACTTGGGTCTCTCCCCTGGACTAACTGTTCTTGAGAACTTTAAAATAACTCTATAGGAAAACAAATGGAGAAAAATGCCCAGAGCAAAAATAAAGTTGTTTTACTCTCTACATATTACTTGACAAACTGGTTCTTGCCATAACACTTAGAATTTTTAGTGTCAGCAAACAATCACAACTCTCTTACCCTATGGTTTGCATAAAATCATATGCAATAAAGATACCACTTGATGTGTCAAGGTATATACTGTGATGGATTAATTTTTTTCATACAATTTTTGGTCATGTTCTTTCGCCTACTCCATCTTGTGTCAAATCCTCTGTCTCCCTACCCATCCAACTACACACCTAAACCTCTCTAAAAATGAAAAAAAACAACAAAGAAGACACATACCACAACTCACAGAAAGACAAAACTGAAACCCAAAACAAAATACAATTACAAAACAACACAAAAGCACACAAAAACACAACACCACAAAATTCATTGTGTCTTGGCCAATTACTCCTGGGCTTTGAGCCTGACCTGGTGTGAGGTTGACACACCCAGTGACACTCCATTGGACAAAACATACTTTTCCTTCGCGAATATTTATCAATTGGAAGTAGCTTTTGACTGGCTGTGTACTCCCCATCCACTTCCCTTCCTCAGTTTGGGTTGTTGTCTTGCTTAAAAATTATGCAGATCTTATAATGCTACCAGCTTCGGTGAGTTCATAAATGCATCAGTTCTACTCTGTCTGTAAGGTATTGTTTTCTTGGAGTTATTCATCACATCCTTCTCTTAAAGTTTTCGATTATTGCTGTAATTTTTCAAAAGTAGATTATAGCCTTCTAGGGAGCAGGGCAAGCTTGCATAGAGTTTGATTATCATCCATTTTGTCAATGCTGCAATTCTTCCACTAGGTGGCGCTGATACTCTAGCTCTTTGGTCTACTGGCACTAGAGGCCGAAAGCTATTGACTTTTTTCAGTTTTCCAGCTAGTGTGATTTTCAATAGAAATTTACCTTTATAGAGTTACCTATTAGTTGATAATAACACATTTAAATCGCATAGTTTTCTTTTTAAGATAGAAAAGCTATTAATTGGAGCTACCAGTGTATTCTGAATAACATCTTAAATTTACAAATGTAATTTCTTCCAAAAATTATTCTAAATAATAACTCTTTCCCTGCCACTTTCTCTAAAGTACTAGAAAGAATTTCTCATTTCTCACATTTTTCTTCATTTGATAATGTAAGACCTGAAAAATATCATGACTGATAATAAACTGTGAATCTCCAGTTTCCTAAGAGAAATTAAGAGAGCACCCAGCTGCCTTGCTTTGGCAGGGTATCCTTGGGAATATGAGACAATTATAACTCCAAAATCATCCCATTTCAGGCTTGTCCACTAGTCACAGATGACTCACCATCGTGGATGATTCTCAAGCAACAGTCATTAGAAGCTATGGAACCACATACAGAAATTTGTGAGTGCTACTGGTTTATTTACAGATTTCCCTTAATAATCTCTCACACTTGGTGAACATAAAGAAATGTCTAAAGTGAGATTACAACAACTGGATGTGGAAGAGACTAGTGATTTCGAAGTATTTTAGGAAATTCCGAGAACCCTCCAGTCTTGCTGTGCAATTGAAAGGAAGGACTGTTCTGAGGATGGAAGAGAGAGATGGGAGCTTTATGCCAGAGCCCCATGACAAGACTTTGAAATGGTCTTTAGACCAATTTTGGCCTAAAAAAAATGTAATTTTCCAGTTACGTTTCCCATTGTTCTAAAGTCATTTGGTGCAAGTGGCAGAGATGAGAAGGAACTTGTACAGCTAGAAGGTCAAATACATTATAGACAAAAGATCATTTCTTTAAGAACGCCGTCTTCACTATATTACCTTTTAGAGTCTTCCATTTCTAACTTGATCCGTTTTACTTTCCCCTCACTTCCATTACATTTTCATTTTGCATCCTTTTCTACTCTGTCTTCACTTTTATTTGTTCTTCAAATCCTTTGTGCTCAGCAAGTTATTTCCTTCAATTGTCTTTATGTAAATACTAATATTTGTGTCTTCAAATTTTTATTTTAAACTCGAGAACTATTTGAGGAAGAAACAATATATATGTATATTAGATGAAGGCTCAGCCATGCCTTTGTTATTTGTGAATAAATGATTTTCTCAGAGAAAGCAATAAATTTTGGGAGTTATCACGCTTTTAATCTACTCAGAAAACTTCAATGTCACAATAAATGGCTTCGGTGCACAATACACAGCACAAAGCTATTGATACAGACAAAATTTAAATTCTGACTTTAAGTATAGGACTTTCGGGTCTATTGATTACTTTTATCCAAAAATACTTATCATTTCTTACTGACTTTATTATTTTTATTATTTCTGCTGGTTCAGCATTCCTGTACCAGGTCTATTTACATAATGCTGCAAAGTATGCATTCGAATCATACATCAGGAAGCAGACAAAAGGCCCAGCCATAAAGGTAAGTGTATCTTGTTGCTGTATCCTGATGGATGTCCCTTGTGGGTGGGCAAAAGTAGGAGTGACACCAACCACACAGGTATCTGAATAAGTTGAAACAACAAGCTCAGTTCATTCCACGAAGGAGTAAGCCTTATGTACTTCCCTAACCGTGCCCCAGGGATGGAGATCCACTGAGCTGGCATCTGCTGAGGTGACATATCCACTGTCCATAGGTCGACATTTTCTCTGGTATGCTGTTGTCAAGGCCCTCTGGCAGACCCAGGCTGGCTGTCATGAACTATCTACTGCGCATGCTCTAGGTCAGCTCTCAGGTCCATTGAGGCTTTGTTTTCCTACAGTATGAAAATTTTTTTTTGCGTGTTTATTGATTCATGCCTGGCCAGTAACAACATATTTTCTAGTGGCTAAGACTGACAATGGCTAAGCTTCTGCCATCAATCATCTGTATTAGTTTCACACAACTTTTCTATAGCTCTCTTTGTATTATTAAAATCATTGTTAATTTCTGCTGGCTTGAAAAACCTAAAAAAAAAATAGAAATTTCCCTTGAGGTATACAATTTGGACCTGTAAAATGTCATATTTAAATATTTGAAGTAGTTTAAAACAGCATTTGTGTGTGTCTCAACCATCTGTAATCAGACAGAATGAAATGGGAAATATGATATACATATTAATTTGAATCCTGAATTATTGATTTCTCTCTTTCAGCATACACACACATATGTGGGGGAATCAGAAATATGTTGCTGCGTGGAGTTTAGAACATTAAAGTAAAATGCAGTGTCAGAAGTCACAGAAAAACACCTAGATGTTACAAACCACATCAAAACTGAATAAACAAACCATCTAGAGTCCTAGGAAAAAACTCCAATATTTAAATGCTGAATAGTCAGAACAAAAATAAAACATTTTGGCATAAAAGAAATGGACAAAGAATCCATGAGAAAATAGACTAACAAAATTAGACGTTCTACTTTATATGGTTATGGGATCTAGGACAGTATTAGCAATTCTGAGACTTGAAAATAAAAACATAAATGAGAATGGTAGAGGGGTGTGCCTTATTGGCCTTATTGGCAGCTGTGCTACCACGTGCTTTGCTGGCCTGGCCCTGGGTTTTGGAATAAGTGGTATTAATATTTGATCTGATTCCTTAAAACCCTACTTAAATATCTCTATGAGTTACAGATTGTGAATAATGCCAATGAAGGATTCATTGAACCATCAAATTTTCAAAATGTGTTTATGAACACAGCTGGAACTCAGTAAGTACTTTGTGTATATATATATATATATATATATATATATATATATATATAGCTATATATATATATTGAAAAAAATTAATAAAAAGCCAGCCCATGAATTTGAAAAAGGAGGGGGATATATGGAGGTTTGGAGGAAGGAAAGGCAAGGGTGAATTATGTAATTATAGTATAATCTAAAAAGAAAAGTAAATACATTTAAAAAGTTTACTTCTTGACTCTTTAAAGACACTTTGCAATTTCAAAGAAGTCACAAATAAAACTTTGAGTTTTTCTTTTTCTTCTTCCTTTTTATCTTCTGCCTATTTGTTCCAGTTTCCTTTATGCTTCTGTGATAATATGTTCTCAACAATAGCAGATGCAGCGAATAAATAATGTATTTAATCTTATACTTCCAGCTCCCAGTCCAACATTTGCGGAATTCAGGACAGGATTTCACAGTAGAAAACTGAAGGTGTGACTGCTTCTGTTCTGTTCAGTATTACCTCCAACTAGACAACTCACAGACAAAGGGCATATGCAGAAATCAACAAGGAATGCAGCTCACTAACTAACTGGATTATCACAAGGTTATTCATTCTCCTATGCCCCAGGACCATGCACCGAGGGATGGCACTACCCACAGTGACTACATCTTGCGTCAAATAATAAGATGACCATACACAGACATGACAGCTGGTCAAGGAAATACAGTTTACTCTCTCTCTCTCTCTCTCTCTCTCTCTCTCTCTCTCTCTCTCATACCTTTTAGCAAACATAACTATAAAATTACTGTTTTAAAGGGCACCTAAATGTAAGTAGACTTTACTGAATATCTTAGTGGGGTTCATGTTTCCCAGGCAGGGAAATAACTACCTTTCTATAGTGCTCCGATACTTGAAATTTGTTATTTGATTGCTCTTTTCCCCAGACACTTCACAATCTTTTCAAGAACAGGAACATTGTCACTTTATTTACAATGTATTCCCTTTGTTTAGAAGAATTTCTGGCATATGGTAGGTGTTATATGAATATTTCATGAATAGAACATTAGCAATGCCTGATAATAGACAATTCTGAAGGAATCCAGTCTTTCAACTAACTCTGAAGCCTTCACTTACTTGAAAAGTGATTTAGCTGAAGAAAAACATGGACTTCTCTAGATATTTATTTCTTGAATTTACTTATCCTGCACATTGCAACAATAATTAGTTCTTGCATTATTCCAATATCCTAAGCATTTAGTTTTATTTAACAAAATATAGAATTTCCTCCAAAAATATGTCTATCAATGATGGCATTAGCTTTAAGCTAATTCTGACTTTGTCATCAAATAATGCATCCTGGTATATTGTTAAAATACTATAAAATGTTATTTCCTGACACTCCCTTCTTTGAGATGGCAGCAAGAGTCGTTTCTTAATGTATAACTGTTTACATCTTAGGAACCCTTGTTTTGAGGCCAAAGTCCTTAAAGGAGTTGCTGATATCTACAGCTTCAAATTGATTTTCTTTCATCCTTTTAACCTTTAGCCTTAGGCTTTTTGTCAGCACCACACTATAAAGTAGTTCTGTCATAATCACTGATGACTTGTATTTATTAAGTCTGGTAGTCATGTCTACAGACTCACACTGTTGCCTGCCAAATCTTGGAAACATTGTTGATTGGCTGTACTCTCCCCTTTTCTTCCTTTTCTGAACCTCATTTCTAATGTATCTTTGAAATAGTGTTATAGTTCTTATTCTTAGTCTTTGAGTATCTGTGGGGGTAGGCAGGTGGAGCAAGAGTTCTATGTCTTTAAATGGACTAATTGGAGAGGAATCTCAAATTTTCCCCAATTTCAAATGCTTCTCCTGAGCAGTAGATGATTGTCCTAACATCTACTTTGGTTCTCTATAGACATTAAGCCAGAGCCTGCTCTAATTTACATCATAGGTTAGAGAGTGTTAGCTTGCAAACTGTGTCTTGTCTTTAGTGACTTCTTTCTATAAGGCAAGAATTTTCTCCTTTTATAATGCAAATGCTGAGGCAGGATGACTCATATACTATTTTGGAAAGTAAACAATAAACAATCTTTCTAACACAAACCACGGTGCTGCAACTGACACATAGCTTTTTGATGTAAATAAAATATTCCCATCTATAAACATCTCAGATTAAGACAGGCTTGCACAAACACAATGCCTCCTTTAAAATCACAAGAGGGAGAGCAGACATGAACTTTTCAAACAAGCCAGACAGATATTCCAAATCTCCAGCTTGGTATGACCTTCTAGAGACACCACTCATGCAGACATAATATGCAAAGAATCAGTGTTTTACCTTGAATCTACTGTGTATCCTGACTGACTTCTGTGCTTTGAACAGAAGGTAAATGTGCTTGTATCTAACCCCCCACTATACTCTCTTGACATCACTATGTCAGTTCTCTGCATTTTGTCTTCTCTCAAGTCCCTGGGACTCATGCACCAACTGTCACCTATTTGTAGCCACATTGTCATCTATCTATTATGGTCCAGTGTATAATGTATGCCTTGAGAATTAATCCTAATAATTAAGATTAGAAGAAGAGAAACTGTGCTGTCAAAAGCCATGAGTCTGGAATGAAATTATGAGTGCTTGGTGCTTAGCATATGCCCAAATGACTCTACATCCTTCTGCATAAATACTTGCTTGCTTAGCTGTGTTCCTTTTCACTTTATTCACAATAGCTAGAAAATGGAAAATGTTGAAATTCCCTTCACCTGACGAACGTATAATGAAAATGTGGCACATATATATTACAGATTACTGCTCAGCTGTAAGGCAATTGAAATCATGAACTTAATATAGGTAAATGGATGGAAATAGAAAAGATGATATTGAGTGAGGTAACTTAGACCCAGAAAAAAGAAAAATACATGTTCCTTTTTATTAAGGAATTCTAGCTTCAAATATTCAAATGTGAGTACATATCCTGGAATAAAATAATAAGTGTCCATTACCAGGTTAGAGGAGTGGGGGATAATAGAAGGAATAATAGTTGGGTATATGTGACCTGACAGAGGAAATGGGGTAAGGAATTCATAATTAAGAAGAGGGAAAAGAGATAAATGTGGAATAAAGATGGAGATGGATTAATAATGAAAAGGATGTCTAAAAATGTCATAAGGAATTATACTATTAACTACCTATATAAAATCACCATATTATGTTGTTATATAAGAATTATATATACACATAAGTGTCTATAAATATGCATATTCATTTGTAATGAAATTTTCTCATCTGGGATGACAAAGCTCCTTCCAGGAGCTGAAGACTATCTAAGGAAAACTCCAAGAGTAAACGTAAAGGGCCCTCTTTTGAGCTGTTGGTCACATTGTTCAAGGGATGCCCAAAACATTGCAGGGTATTTCTACTGTCTTTCGCTGTTCCCAAGAGGTGGGGGCTATGTCCTTGTTGAAATGAAATACCATGCATGTCAGACACAAAGCCCAGAGTCCATTGATGCAGCACTGACAAGATGTCTTTCACCCTGAAGATAAACTCTCATGGTACCAAAAGCTGCTATGCAAGTTTGTAAAGGAGACAACCTCTATTCTTACCAACCAACGTATTATATCAATGAACTGCAACAAAGACCAGCTTGTTATGCTAACCCCAAGTTAGCAGTAATGGCAAATATAACTTGGTGGTAACCAATGACTCTCTAATTGGACACAAGACCCACTCAAGAGGAGGTAAATCATACCAGATACTCAAAAATCAACCCAGAGCTAATTAAGTCATGAATATTGCAAGGGACCCACAACCATTTTACAAAGCCATCATAATCTCTACCTACACTCGAAATGTTTGTCCTTATAAACCCAGATAATTTATACTTCTCAAAACTCAAGAAAACTTCCCTTTTCAATAGAGAAAGACCATTACAGAAAAGCACCATCAATAAAAATGCAGAGTTATAGACCCCAGTCCTAGTGGATACATCTACAGAATATCTTACACATCTAAGGTTCACAGAATATTTGGGAACAAGGGGAAGAAAGATTTTTAAGTGCCACAGGATCTGAGAATGTTCTGTTAAACTGATTCCCCTAGTAATCATAGAACTATATTCTATATTCGTAAAACCTCACCAACATGACTGTCTAAACATGTGCTGAACCAAGGAAACAACAGCCATGCCGAAGAGAATGAGGAAAAGGTTAGAACACCTCAGCCATCCATAATGGACCACAGGGAATAAAGGAATAGTGAGAATTGGACAAAAATCTTCCCAAGGGATGATCTAATTGGTTATGCAATATAAATTGACATTCCTAAAAATATACATACAGGTAATGTTAGACATGTTGAGCAGGTTATATTTATTAATACACATACACACATATGCATGTAACAACAATTAATGAAAAATGGGGCATAAATTTCAAAAGGAGCAAGGAAGGGTGTATGGGAATATTTGGAGGGAGAAATGGGAAGGAGAAAATGATGTAATTATATTATATTACAAAGATAAACGATTTAAAAATGTTTGGTGATTTATAATCAATGAAACTGATATGACTCAGAATTTCTTATTGCTCAATAAACTCTGACCTTTTAAAAGGAACCATATGTGTACATCTATGTCTCTGACAGCTCACTTCCAATAAAGTGTTATAGATATCTCAAACCAAATATATGTAAAATTAATCTGAACCTATCTCCCACCTCAGCTTTACCTTGCCCTTTGTATTACTCAGGTCAATTATGGAAACTTCATCCTCAGCTAAAAATCTTATTGAACCAACTCATCTCTTTCTCATTCCACACAGTCAGCATATCTTGGAAGTAAGACACTAAACATGTACTCCATCTCCAATCATCTCTCATTTCCCAAACAGCCATCACGGTGGTTCACATCAGTGCTTTTCATAGCCTAAATTACTCTAAGAGCCCAATAATTTCCTGCTTCTATCTGTGCTTACTTTCAATATCTTCTAAAAGCAAAAGTCTAAGTAACGCTGGTAAGTAAAACGTCATGCCACGTAAACTCTCTGATCTGAACACTTCCCTGGAGTTTCAACTGGAATAAAAGGGGATGGATAGAAGGCAAGTTCCATCTGAGTAACAACAGCAGTGGGATCTGAGGCAGACAGGGATGGAGGACTCAAAAGAAAGATGTGTGGAAACATTTTGCTACAAGGGAAACAGAGAAGGAGAGGGCGACCAAAAGAACTGGAGCTCTTACGAGATTCTCTGTTTCTCCTAGCCAAGGGACTACAATTCTGAAGATGCTGCACGCCCTTGTCAGGATCTCATATGGAAGATCCAGTGGCTCTTATAGAACAGGCTCTTGTGATTTCTCACTGCCTAGTTTTTTCCTTAAGGAAGCTTGAGAGGACTCAAAGAATGAGGGATCTTTTGATACATTTGGTGAGGTAGGAAGGAGACACGCAGTCCTTTTACAGAATATGAATATGAATAAAGTTAATAAATATGTTACTTTTTGTGTTTCTTTTCTGCCCTTACTCTACATCCAGAATACAAACCCTGTAGCTGACAAGCTTGTGTCAAGTCATTCAATAAATTTCTAAAAGATTCATTTGATATATTTCTTTAATAAGAAACAATGTGTGTGAATTAAAGATACAATGGAAATTATAATATTTCTGTTTTGCCTATGTTTCAATGCAAACTTTGAGAATATAAAATAGCTAATTGTGTTAGGCGAATAAAAAATATTGTCCTAATATTAGTGTTGGTTTAACACTTGCAAATACACTACTTTTAATATGACCATAATTGATGGAAATATTTACATTCATATTCATATTGTCATGGAGAGTAATTCTCCACTGAGAACATTTCTATGAGAATGAAAATAGAAAATTTAGCTGATAAAGATTATAAAATACACTATTTTTATTATGATTATTTTTATCATTTATTACTTTACTTGGAAAAACTAAAAATTCTGATTTTAATCAGTAAGAACACTTTATAAATGGTATTCTTCAGAAATAATCATTATATACTGTATTAGAGATAGTTACATTTTTAAATAAATTTACATAGATTTCTAAAGCTTATATAAGCCACTATGCAAAGATACTTCTATAACTCAAAGAAAATATTTTTTAAAATGTAGTTGGTAATGGAGTTCCAATCTTATTGGCCAACACTGAATTCTATTGACTAAATTTTACTTAAATTCTTTAATTGCTACTCATATTTACATATCCATGACCCCCATTCCCTCACCCTCCCATCCTCCCATGTTCTCCCCGCCAAACCCCCAACCCATTTCCCAACTCCTGCCCAGGCCTAGTGAGGCTGGATTCTCTTCAGATCTTATAAATCTTTCGCCTTTTCTATTGACTATCAAACCAGACATCCATACTAGCAATTTTATTCAAACTAGTATTTACCAATGTAGATTAAAATTTGACTCACATTTGATGGTTTTGGTGATTATACAAATATTTTTCTTTGTTATTTAGTCACCATTTGTTTTCCTTCTTAAATGACCTTGCTTTGAAAATGAAGTGTCTCCTGTATCTCATTCCTAAACAGAGGAAAAGACCATGCAAACCACAGACAGATTCTGACCTTTTATATCATTTTATAGTGCAACTTTTAGAAAATCATTAAGTGACATTTCACAAGCCACAAGCTCTCTCATATATTTAATTGGGTAGACTGAAAATGACATCAATTTTTTCTAGAAATCAACATGATATGATAATAGCTTTGTTTGTTGTTGCTTGACGTAAAACTTAAAATTGTCATCTTCAATTATGTTAAATAGTATTTTACAAATAATTGTGATATAATTTCCTAAGCCTATTTTCCAGATATCATTAATGATCTAGGGGGATTTCCCATAAAATTTTGTACCAGTAGTGAACTTTCTCAGCCTCACTTTTAATTGAATATATAAACACACACACACACACACACACACACACACAGAGAGAGAGAGAGAGAGAGACAGAGAGAGAGATTAATATGTCTCAATGTCACTTCAGATTGTTTATTTTCCAATTACTTTAGTTAAGTTTTGTTCTTTTTTAAATTTATTTTTATTTAAATTAGAAACAAGATTCTTTTACATGTCAATCGCAGTTCCCTCTTTCTACCCTCCTGCACTGCCCCGACCCACCTCCTATCCCAACCCATTTCTGCTCCCCAGGGAGGGTGAGATCTTCCATGGGGGAATCTTCAAAGTCTGCCACATCATTTTGAGCAGGGCCTAGACCCTCCCATGTGTTTCTAGGCTGAGAGAGTAATCCTCTCTGTGAAAATGATTTTAGATCTAAAGTTTCATTCTTTAAATTTAACATTGAGTATTCCTGAAGAATGGATTATTTTTAAAGTAAATATGACTTCATACTGAATCTATGATCTGTTTTTATTTTAAGATATGTTCAGCTACTGCATTATCTATTAAACTTTACAATAAACTACAGTCAAAGAAATTTCTTCCACAATTTTTATAACTAAAATTCTTCACTTTTTTGTCAGGGTGTTGTTTTGGGCAAATTTTATCTTACAGTGAGAACTCAGAAAATTTTGCATTAAATATACCTGTAAATAAACTAGTGTTGCCACAGTAGGGCCCAATATCCTTCTGAAGATGCTAGTGTTGCTAGATTTTTGAGAGTCATAGTAATTCAATATTTCATGTTCCCAGTTTCATTGCATAAGACCATTGGTGAGAATTTACAAATGCATAGTTTCAGAGAGTTCACTTATTTGTTGAATACCACGTATTTTCAACTTTGCCTGTGTGAGTTCATGTACAGCACATGTGCAGAACCCTGCAGAGCCCTCCAAAGGGAGCCAGATCCACTGCAACTGGACTTACAGGAGAGTGTGCTCTCTTCTATATGTATGCTGGGAATAAATCATTCTCTGCAAAACTAGGAATCACTCACTCTTAAGTGCTGAGTCACCTCTCTAGCACAAGAAATAGATAAATTAGTCAATAAAGATAGCTAAAAATTGGCTATTAAATATTGAAAATATGCAAATATGCAATGATTTGGCAACAAAATAAACATGGCACACGTGGGTTGTATGGTTGTAATGGGTTCCATAGCTGCAAAAGTAAACTATGAAGAGACTATTTGTCCTAAGTAGGCTTTTAGAGTAGGCAGGAGGTGAAGTTATTAGTATTCACTAACCAGTCAGGAGTAGCAACATATGGGATAGAGATAACCCAATGGTAGATCGTTCGAAAGAGAAAAATTTATAATCTGAACTGTATTGCAAAGAAAATGAGATCAAAAGTAAACATATCTGTGTAGAAGGCTACACTGTAGGAAGCTGAACAACATTTGACCTGTGTTGATGCTGAAAATTGCTTGAAGAAACCCTAAAAATACAAAATCTTTAGCTAAATGATTTTCTAACAGAATTATTTGTGCAAAGACTTTTAACAAGCACCTCCTTGTATTTTTAGAGTATATTGTAGGCCAGATAATATAATACCATCTTCCATTTGCTTTCTTCCTTAATCTTTCTTAGCCATAGTCATAGGAAGTTATTAGCAATTTTAACCCATTTGTACAAACATGAGAACCTACTTAAGGAACCTAGAACTGAACTCCATTTTTATCTCTTTATGTCAATATTATTGGCTTCTATGAAACAATGATATGCAGGTAAATTTAAAATTAAAATGAAAGTGCCAAGTTAGAATAGATCAATTACAGAATTCAATACTCTCAGTTAAAGACAAAAAAAAAAATCTGTTCCAATGCTCTGGTGGGAAAATAAAGTGTATGTGGCCCCTTGATTTTATTTCTTCAAGAATTAGATTTTTAAAAATGATTTCAGTGAATTTGTGTTTTTAATCAAAATGATGCAGCTATGCCAGGGTCAGTGACCTATAATTATAAGTCTAGCACTTAAGCAAGGTGAATGGGGGCCTGCCATAAGTGGATAATGAGTATGACATTACCTTGACCTACAGAAGGAGATCCTGTCTCAAACAAAAAGATTGTGAATTGGGGCCTGCCATAAGTGGATAATGAGTATGACATTACCTTGACCTACAGAAGGAGATCCTGTCTCAAACAAAAAAGTAAAGAAAAATGAATATTTTAATATGTAGTAATTTAATACTACATATTAAAATTATGTTTTAGTGTAGATTATTATGGTGATTTTAATGAAAATGTCCTCCATATTGTCCTATAATTGACTGCTTGGTCCCAGTTAGTGAAACCGTTTGGAAGGATTAGGAGGTGTGGCTTTGTTGGAGGAGGTGTGACCTTACTGGCAGAAGTGTGTCCCAGCATGTTGGCCATTCCAACCTGCCTGCTGCCCAGTTCCAGGTCCCCCACCATGAGCATCATAGATTAACACACTGAAAGAGGGAGCAAGCCTGCAGAATGCTTTCTTATATAAGTTGCCTTGGTCATGGTCTTTGCAGCAATAGAATAGTAACCGAGACCATTATGTAGTGTATTTTATGTTTATGATTATATAATCTATTAAGTCATTTGTTGAAATATGATTGTATGCATTTGCTAGGAATGAAAGAAATTTTGTGTGAACTATAACTTTCTGTGTTGCATGCCCACTACAAGTATTAATATTTCACAGATATTTCTCTTACTC